ACATGGTTTTGTTTACGCGGCGCGATGCAACGCAACGCGTGAAAAGACAGTATAAGTCATTATAATCCGTAATTATGTCCCCACTGGATGCAACTAATGCGTCGTTTATAATGGGTTTTAATGTTTGTGTCGCTTTGGCCGGGACACGGCATCACAGTATGGTAAGGGGTGTAACATTTCCGTCACACGCTTGAGGTATTCGGTCAATCACAACGCTCTGGATAGCTGGCCAATCAGAGCATACCTCGCTTTTCAGACCAATGAGGTTTGTAAAAATCGACGCGTTTCAGAAAGGCGGGGCATAGAGGAGAAACAATAATGTACAGTATGTGGAAAATAATGTGTTTTTTGAACCTTAAACACATTTCATTACACCAAATACACAAAATAATGTTCTTTTTAGCAGCATCATATGACCCCTTTAAATAATTTTCAATTTATCATAAAACAAGAGAACGTATTCTGCTGATTATTTGCAATATATCTGGCGTGGCAATATTAGGAAAAAGTCTTTCAATGACATCAGGATCTTCTTATGAATAGCTTATAAGCTGCACAAAAATGGTCAACATTTGGCTGGATAACAATGCTGTAACCATACCATTTGGCTGCAAGAAACATCTTTTTGAAAGCGGTGTATTTTTTGCAAACAGCATATACATGCACAGCTCCCATAGAATATTGCTGTTTTTGTTGCTTAGCAACAATGCTTTAGCAGTGTCAGACACTTTTGAAGCCCCTATAATTAATGAAGAATCTGACTGCTTTCTCCATGTATTATAGACCTTCTTGGGCACAGATTATCACTCCGCTTTTTCCCAATGATATATAGCTATACATTTCAGCCTATATATGAATTGCTGCCGTTTTTAAGAATTTGAAATGGAGCGAATCAACAGGCACGTCCCTATTTAAAAAAAAATTATATTCAACTGCATACCATAATCCTCAATATTTAGGTGACTGGACTTTATAATTCTAAAGAGCATTTGATTGGACAAAAATATGGATACGCCCCTGAGTGCAAGATGACATCATTTAGATTTTGGCCCATTTCCCAGATGAGAATATTTTTTATAATGTAACTATATACATATATGTATGTATGTGTATATGTATGTATGTATATATATATATATATATATATAACCAACACACACACACGTTATAAATAAAAAAAATATGATTATTTATTAGTGCATTAGTGATTTTATGCGGTCTTTATGCTTCATTATGCTTTGGCGTCTTGCAAGCACTGTTTTTTCTATCTAGCTTTAAAAACTGCATTCTGCATTAAGCAATAAAAGGAGATTTTTCTACCCCACAACAGGTAAAAACGCTACACATGACGTATTACTCACTCTTCTTCTCGCGGTTCCTCCTCCTCCGCCGAATCGTCGAGCTCGTCGCTGTCAGACAGAGGTTTGTATCCAACTTCAGTATCGCAATCTTCTATTACGCACTCGATTTCATAAAACATTTGCCTTTTCGCACCGACATCCTCCGCTGATGCCATTTCGAGCAGAAAAGGCGAAGAAAACTAAACGCAGCCTCCTCAAACGCTGCAGAACATGCGCGCAGACTCACAGCGCCGGAGAGCTTTCTGCGTAAGCCCCGCCTCCCACCACTACGTAGGGATCGTCGCAGTCTCTGATTGGAACACAATCTTGAGTGACGTGACAACGAAAGGCTGAGATCATCAGTAATGCGACGTGAACCGAAAAGTAGACCCTTTTATTTATATTTTAAGAATCAAATATATTTAAAAAAAACAAACATGTTTTTTAATGTAAAGATATTTATTTCAATGCAGTCTTGACTCTTGGTCCTTGCCTTTTTGTTTGTCTTGTCTTTGTGGTTGTGTTAAAATGTTTGGCAATAAATATAAATAATATTAAGAAAATAATATAAAGAATAAAATATTTAGATAAATACTGCTCTTTATTTTTTTTACTGCTCTCTTTTGTTGTAGTGCTGCATATAAGAAAAACTGATGAAGTTAAGTAGTATGCAATTGTTTCATCAGCTACATATTTCACATTTTAATACATGTTATTGCACATTACTTTAATGACCTTTTGCTTTTTTAAAATTTATATCACACGTCATACGGCCAACCAATTCCATGCATGTTGTACTTGGTAATTGCCACTATGGGCTCTTACTCCATCTTACCCTGGGATGCAGACACAGCAAACAGATTTTTCCTGAGTTGACAACCTGTCTGACTGAATCCGTATTTGTGCCGTACAGGTTCTGTTCAAACTCGCCCGACTCGATTAATTTCCCTGCAGCCAGGTCACATTCAAAGCTCTGCCGTGATACAAAGTTGTACTCCCTGCCGTTGACCTCATGTGCACGGGGGTTTCGTGTGGTGTCTGTAACGTGTTCAAAATCACAAATAAGTACAATAGATATGCATAAACAAAATAGCAGTCTGTGTATAAATGCATGACTGTTGGTATGCATTAATTCATGGTTGTATTTAACCCAGTTTTTCTTAAAGAAATAGTTCACCCAAAACTGAAAATGTGCTCACCCTCAGGCCATTCAAGATGTGTTTGTTTCTTCATCAGATTTGGAGAAATGTAGCATTGCATCACTTGCTCAGCAATGGATGCTCTGCAGTGAATGGGTGCCGTCAGAATGAGAGTCCAAACAGCTGATAAAAACATCACAATAATCCAAACCACTCCAGGCCATCAGTTAACAACTTGTGAAGCCAAAAACTGCGTGTTTGTAAGAAACAAATCCAGCATTAAGGCATTTAACTTCAAACTAAATCCTCTATCCATAATACTGCTTTCTCCAGTGAAAAAGTAATCTCATCTGAATCAGGAGAGAAATATTCACAGATCAAGCATCATTTACAAGCCAAAACAGTTCAAAACAAATATGTGTGTGGATTTTGATGTGAGAGGACAACAAGAGATGGACATTTTCACTAGATTAAACATTATTATGGATTATGAACTCATATTTTATCCAGAAGTAACAGTTTAAAATGGATTAATGATGGCTTTTTTCTTACAAACATTGGACTGGAGTGGTTATAGTAATAGTAGTTATCACTGGACTGGACTAGAGTTGTGTGGATTACTTGTGGATTATTGTGATGTTTTATCAGCTGTTTGGACTCTCATTCTGACGGCACCCATTCACTGCAGAGCAACTGATGCAAAGCTACATTTCTCCAAATCGGTCCAGGTATGGCCTGAGATTGAGTGCATTTCAGTAAATTTTGATTTTAGGGTGAACTATTACTTTTATGATACAATTATTGGTTCCGTTCCAAAAATTTGAAAGCTGCCAACATAGGCATGATTTTACAGCATTACAACGTAATGAGTCTCTTAAGACAATTAATTTTATTATTGATGCATCTCACTAGGTTTTGGAAGCGAGCCATTGTGTCTCCTCCTGTAATTTGGCTTTCATGTTAAATAACTTTAAGACAAAGTTGTAGAAAAGCATAGTCTTACGTGGAACAGCACCGGTGAATCGGTCAGGCTCTAAGGAGAGCAGTCTTTGTCTCAGTTCATCATGTCCACTGTTGGGTGGTCCAATCAGGGCGATGGGACGCTTGCGGTTGGGTGGCTGATGGTAAAGTGCCACCTCCTCATAGGTCAGGATATCCTCGCTGTAGTGGTCTGAACAACGACAAATATTGACAAATACTGAGTTTTTGCAAAATATAAATGTCACTAGTCTATACCAGGGCTTTGAAAGCTGCCAACATAGGCATGATTTTACAGCATTACAACGTAATGAGTCTCTTAAGACAATTAATTTTATTATTGATGCATCTCACTAGGTTTTGGAAGCGAGCCATTGTGTCTCCTCCTGTAATTTGGCTTTCATGTTAAATAACTTTAAGACAAAGTTGTAGAAAAGCATAGTCTTACGTGGAACAGCACCGGTGAATCGGTCAGGCTCTAAGGAGAGCAGTCTTTGTCTCAGTTCATCATGTCCACTGTTGGGTGGTCCAATCAGGGCGATGGGACGCTTGCGGTTGGGTGGCTGATGGTAAAGTGCCACCTCCTCATAGGTCAGGATATCCTCGCTGTAGTGGTCTGAACAACGACAAATATTCATTACTGAGTTTTTGCAAAATATAAATGTCACTAGTCTATACCAGGGCTATTGAACTCAGCTCAACATGTTAAAAAGACTTCAAATTAACAGTGATTTGGGGATTTCTCAGAGAAATTCCCAAACAATGACTGCCCACAACAAAAAGTAAATGCTGGATCCTAAAGGGTGAAGGTAAAACAGTGTTTTTTTCTCTGTATGTCTTCTGTTTTTAAATGCAAATTGCACCCCAGGCGTGAGAAACGCTTTCATTGTTATTTCTTATTGCCCATCTTTAGTCTGGAGAGGCATGCAAGAGAAGAAACCTCCTTCCGTGAGTCAGTTAGCTAACGACCCTTATATCCTCTGCCGTTAACCCACCCGAAACCATTCACACCTCAAATCCATAAGCTTAAACAAATTAACACTAAAACAAGTGGAAAAATACCCTATACATGCACACAAGCCATAGACAGGGAATTTCAGTGGATCATTTGGATTTGCATCCATAAACAACCACTCAGAATACCCTAACAACTGCATAGCAACACACTAGAAACCACTAAGAACACCCTAGCAACTGCATAGCAACACACTAGAAACCACTCAGAACACCCTAGCAACCACATAGCAACACACTAGGAGCCACTCAGAACACTATCAACCACATAGCAACACTAGAAGCCATTCACAACACCCTAGCAACTGCATATCAACACTAGAAGCCATTCACAACACCCTAGCAACTGCATAGCAACACACTTGAAATCACTCAGAACACCCTAGAAACCACATAGCAACACTAGATTCCATTCAGAACACCCTAGCAACTGCATAGCAACATTAGGAGCCATTCAGAACACCCTAGCAACCGCATAACAACACACTAGAAGCCACTCAGAACTCCCTAGCAAACGCATAGCAACACAGCAGAAGCAACTCAGAAAACCCTAACAACGGCATAACAACACACTAGAAGCAAATCAGAACACCCTAGCAACCGTATAGCAACACACCCAAAGCAACTCAGAACAACCTAGCAACCACATAGCAACACACTTGAAACCACTCAGAACACCCTAGCAACCACATAGCAACACCAGAAGCCATTCCGATCACCCTAGCAACTGCATAGCAACACACTAGAAATCACTAAGAACACCCTAGAAACCACATGGCAACACTAGAATCCATACAGAACACCCTAGCAACTGCATAGCAACATTAGGAGCCACTCAGAACAACCTAGCAACTGCATAGCAAGCAACACACTAAGAGCTTCTCATAGCAACACACCCAAAGCAACTCAGAACAACCTAGCAACCACATAGCAACACACTTGAAACCACTCAGAACACCCTAGCAACCACATAGCAACACCAGAAGCCATTCCGATCACCCTAGCAACTGCATAGCAACACACTAGAAATCACTAAGAACACCCTAGAAACCACATGGCAACACTAGAATCCATACAGAACACCCTAGCAACTGCATAGCAACATTAGGAGCCACTCAGAACAACCTAGCAACTGCATAGCAAGCAACACACTAAGAGCTTCTCAGAACACCCTAGCAACCGCATAACAACACACTAGAAGCCACTCAGAACTCCCTAGCAAACGCATAGCAACACAGCAGAAGCAACTCAGAAAACCCTAACAACCTCATAACAACACACTAGAAGCAACTCAGAACACCCTAGCAACCGTATAGCAACACACCCGAAGCAACTCAGAACAACCTAGCAACAACATAGCAACACTACAAACCACTCAAACACCCTAGCAACTGCATTGAACACTAGGAGTCACTCAGAACACCTTGGCAACTGCATAGTAACAACATAGCAACCACCCACAGCATTCTAGCTATGTTTTACTAGAACTGATGACTAGCACAATAAGACAAAGAACAATTAGTTCAATGAAGGATAAATTTCGATTTCTTGACTAGGAATTCAGAAGGTACTCACCGATATTCTTACTTGGGTTGAACAAGAGTTTTTTTCGTTGTTTTTGGCTTTTCTTTGCACACCAAAGTTTCCCTGATGAAAGAAGAACTATTATCAGTGAACTTTCCACACAATGATCAACAGCAAAGAGTTTAAAGGATGATGAAAGCTAAAAAAAAGCAGTTCAGATGTATGTTTGTGTAAGTAACTTCAGACAGACGGGGTCTAACTCACCTTTATACTCTTGATTTCTGTCTGTGATGGTTTTCTTCATAGCTTCTCTTTGCTGCTGGAAGCTCTTCCCTTGAAAGAACACAACAAATAGCAACCAGTATATGTCTTAGTAGCTGCTGCACCACACATCCTAGACATTCAACTATTATTTAGGGAAAGATGATATTATATGCCCTGAAAAACATAAAACTGTCAGTGTTAAAATAACTCCAATTAGTATGTGAACCAATATGGTTTATCAGTAGAACTGGGCAATAGTGGCAAATATATATCTCGTCATTTTTGACCTTTTGACCATATCCAATAAATACCTCAAATTTGCTCTGAAAATTATGTTTTTTTTTCTTTTATTATTGCAGAGTAAATGCAAAATGTCATAACATAATTTTTCATACATGACAAAATAGCACAAAGAGACTTCTGTGGTTTTAATTTTGAGTGATCATTGAAATCAATCAGTGTTGTTACTGTTAACTAAAACTAAAACTATTACAAATTGTTTTCGGTAATTGAAATAAAAGCTGAAAAAATTAATTATAAATATTAGATTTAAAAAAATTAAAAACTGAAATGAAAATGAGAAAATTTCATTTTTAAATAAAGCTGAAATGAAATAAAATATAAATATTACATGAAAAACAAAAACTTAGAAATGTTGCCTTGGCAACTAACTCAAATAAATAAGTGTTAATAACTAAACCTGAAATAAATAAATATTAAATAAGAAATATTAATAAATATTATTATAATAAATACTATTAAATAATAACAAATATTAATTATGGATTTATATAAATATAAAACATAACTAATACAAATGACACATGACAAAATTAGTAAAACCTCAAATTAAAATGAAAATATAAAAATAAATGCAAATTCAAAAGATTAATAAATATGATAATAGTATATAAATAATATATTTATATATATTATAATAATTTAAACTTAATTGCCAAATAAAACGTGTAAATTAATTGCAAATGCATGATGAACATGACTGTATGTCGCCCTATTCAGCAATACATTAAATTATTTTTTCAATGGATTTACAAGTATTTTTTTTCTGTCTCTATCCTATATACAGCAGGCACTCTGCTAATTGTTCTCACCAGGTATAAGGCCAGCAAGGGGCTTCTGGTCCTCATGTCTGTCCCGGTACGCCTGCCACCAGTTGGGGTCATCCTGGCTGGTGACGTGAAGGATGTCTCCCTTTTGGAAGGACAGGCCGTGCTCTCTGCATGGCACATATAGGTCGTCAGATGGGTCATAGCTGAAGTTTGCCTTCACATGCATCTGTAAAGAAAGAAAACGAGGAGGAGAGGTGAAGGACACGTCCAAATGAAGAACATCAGCATTGTTCCAAACCCCAGTGAGCTGCTACCAAGCACAACATCTATTCAAAATAGTAGTTATCAAAGTTTTCACAGCCTCGTAAAGTATCTTAAATTCTTACATCACAAGTATACTTCATGCATAAGTCAATCCCAGAATGCAATGTGGCAAGAATCCAACTAGAGTTTCAAAGAAGAAAATCCCAAAAAGCCTCTCGAAAAGGCGACACACATTCAAAGGAAGGAATGAAAATGAAGAAATTAGAGGTGAAGTCATACCACAGTTGTTCTGTGAGGAGCTATTTTGTTTTGATAGTTTGGGATGAGGAGAAACGTGAGGGACCCATGCATGCAGGACTAGAGATAAAGAAGAAGAACACAGATGTAAACTGATTAATTTAAAAAGCCTCTCGAAAAGGCGACACACATTCAAAGGAAGGAATGAAAATGAAGAAATTAGAGGTGAAGTCATACCACAGTTGTTCTGTGAGGAGCTATTTTGTTTTGATAGTTTGGGATGAGGAGAAACGTGAGAGACCCATGCATGCAGGACTAGAGATAAAGAAGAAGAACACAGATGTAAACTGATTAATTTTTAAAAAAAGAAAGAAATTAATACTTTTAATCAGCAAGGATGCATTAAATTGATCAAAAGTGACAGTAAAGACATTTATAATGTTACAAAAGATTTATATTTCAAATAAATGTTGTTGTTTTTAACATCAAAGCAACATCAAAGAATCCTGAAAAAAATATATCATAGTTTCCAGTAACAGCACAACTGTTTTCAACATTGATAATAATCAGAAATGTTTATTGAGTAGAAAATCAGCATATTAGAATGATTTCTGAAGGATCATGTGACACTGAAGACTGGAGTAATGATGCTGAAAATTCAGCTTTGATCACAGCAATTAATTATTATTTTAAATAAAATAAATTAAGCCTTCATTTATTCATACATGAGAGACTTCTTAAAAAAAAAAAAAAATCCTAATGACCCCTAACCTATGATCAGTAGTGTACTTTATATCAACAGATAATTATGGTAAAGTAAGTTAAGGCGTTTCAAAGAGTTTAGGACTCTCTGGATCTCACCAGTATGTTGTGAACATCATTAACACTTTTTCCACGGACTGGAATGCCATTGATCTCCAAGATTTCATCTCCTTCACTGAGCAGGTTGCTTTTCTCAGCAGTACCGCCGCTCACCACCCGACTGATGACCACGCGATCATGTTCGTTCCGAACGGTCACGCCCTAAACAATGTTAAGGTATAGCGGTACAACAAACACACAGACAGAAACTACAGTAACACATTCAATGCTGCCATTACAGACTATATAGTATGTAGATGAATGACTCACCAGAGGCATGTCACGAGTTTTCTCCAGGGAAACCAGTTTGGTGGTCTTTTCATCCTGGTCCACTGATTCAGTAGTTTCAACATCTAATTCCTGTTCAGCAATACAGTCATGAGCTTCCATCAGGGCCTGAGGAAGAGCCATGAACATCAACACTTGTGAATGGAGATGTCAGCATCAATTCTTTTGACTTGAGCCTGTAAGGAATCATCTAGAATACCCTAGCAACCGCATAGCAACCACCCAGAACAACACCCCTGCAATTGCAAAGCAACAAAAACACTCATAGAACTTCAGCAACACCATAGCAAACACATAAAACACCCTAGCAACAACTTTGCAATCACCCAGAACACCATAGCACAACATTTTAAAACACTCAGAACACCTTAGACACTGCATCGCAACACCCTAGTGACCACCTTTCAACTCCCTATCAAACACAGAGAACACCCTAGCAACAGCAAGCAACGTCCTTGCAATCATATAGAACATCATAGCATCCACAGCACACCATTTTAAAACACTCAGGACACCTTAGTGACCACCAATCAACTCCCTATCAAACACAGAGAACCTACAAACAACCTCCCAACACCCTTGCAACCACTCAGAACACCACAGTAACCACACTGCAACATGCTATACCACTCAGAACACCTTAGCAACTGCATAGCAACACCCTAGCAACCAACTAGCAACTCCATAACAAATACAGCAAACACCCTATAGCAGTTACTTAGCAACAGCCAAGCAACCACCCAGAACACCATAGTAACCACATAGCAACATTTTAAAACAAGTAGAACACCCTATACACTGCATTGCAACACCCGAGCAACCAATTAACTCAGAGAACACCCTAGCAATAGCCTAGCAACCACCTAGAACACCATAGCAACCACACACCATTTTAAAACACTTAAAAACACCTTATAAACACCATAGAATCCACCTATCAACTCTTTATGAAATAGAGAACACCCTAGCAACTACATAGCAACCACTAGCAAACACACCCTATAGCAGACTAGCAACCAATCGACTCCCTATCGAATACAGAGAATACCCTAGCAGCAGCCTAGCAACAACCTAGAACGCCATAGCAACTACACCAAAACATTCTAAAACACTTAGATCATCTTAGCAACACCCTAGCGACACCTATCAACTCCATATCAAACACAGAGAACACCCTAGCAATGGCCTAGCAACACAGAACACCACAGCATCCATATGGAAACATTTAAAAACACCTGTAAGAACAAATTAACACCTGTATAGCAACACCCTAGCAACCACTCACAACACCCTAGCATTATGGTGGCAACTTCAATGTAAAAAGCAAGTTATGTAGAATAACTGTATGCTTTGAAAACAAATCCTGCCTTAAAAACGTCATTTAAACAGGCAAGCAATCAAACTTCTTTCAAGCTGAGAAGCACCCAAACAAGTTCCCTCCCCTGTCGTTTAACCCGAGACTCTGTCCCGGCCACACGATTGGCGCTTTACCTCAGTGAAGGTGACAGGCATCCTGTACCATGCAATAATAACCCCTGCCGACATCAGTTTCTGCCAAGCGCGATGCACAGCTTAACCTGAACATAAACCCAATCCACCATAATCTCCCACAGCACTGTCAATCATCACATCACCTCTTACCTCCTCATGCATTTATGAAGTATGAAGAAAGACAGAGTCGCACTGTTTTAAATGGCTGCCGGGACGCCCACTGTGTGTGAGGTGACAGAAAGCAGCAGGAGGGCTGGGAGAGGGCTGAATATCTGCAGGGAGGGGAATCATCTCATGGCCTGTTCTGTGACAGGTATCTGTTTCTAAGGCCATTAATTAGATCTAACCTGTGGTGTGTACAAATAGACACAAGGGGAAGTTGTTTTCACGCCCTTGTTAGGGTTTGATGTGGGCCTGAATATGAAATCAGATCTTGATTTTTTGATCAAATGACTGATTGATAATTTTGTGCATCTGCTTCACTAGTTCAGGTGTGGTCTGATATGGATGCAGACATAAGGATAAATGATGCTAAATGCAAACAGTAAATTGCAACTAACCATATCATCATGATCATGCATATTTTTGAAAACAAAATAAAAGGCTTATCAGCTTTTAAATGGGATGAGAAAATCCCTAGTAAACACAGAAAACACCCTATAGCAACTACCTGGCAACAGCCAAGCAACACCCTTGCAACCACCCAGAACACCATAGCAGCCGCATAGCAACACTTTAAAAGTCCTTAGAAACTGCATAGCAACACCCTAGCAACCACCTATCAATTCCTTATCAAACACAGAGAACACCCTAGCAACACCCTAGCAATGCTTGCAACCACCCAGGAGACCATAGTAACTGCATAGCAACATTTTAAAACACTTAAAACACTTTAGAAACTGTATAGCAACACCCTAGCAACCACCTATTAACTCCTATCAAGTACCTTGCAACAGCCTAGCAACACCCTTGCAACCTCCCAGAATACCATAGCAACCACATAGCAACATTTTAAAACACCAGTAACCATGTAGCAACTGCATAGCAACACCCTAGCAACCACTCACAACACCCTAGCATTATGGTAGCAACTTCAATACTTTGATTCAGAAAATGTAAAATTCTACTTATGTAGACTCATTTTATGCTTTGAAAAAGTGCTGCTTTAGTCAGATGATCCTGATGTTGTGTGAGATTCAGCAGTCCTCATCCTGCAGGTGTGGTGACGTCAGCAGGCCTGTGAGTTCTGTGGCTTCATTATATTTACTAGACTGCAGGACACTTTCTACCTGAAGACCAAGAACAGCAATCAACAACACAGATGAGTTTCATCTAGACGTGTGCAGCATCTAGAAAAGCATCATTATGATTGTTGCTCATTAAAATAACCTGATGCAGACAGTCCAGTACTTCTCCATTACATTTTATTCACAGTTTGCACAACTCAAATGTACAAATTGAGTTTATTGCAAATCAAAAGATTTGGTTAGGAAATGAAATTTGTAGATGAGTTTCAGTTAACATCTTGAGAAGCAAAAAGCTGTGTGTTTGTAAGAAACAAATCCATCCTTAAAGTGTTTTTAACTTCAAACCGTTGCTTTCGGCTAAAATATGAGTCCGTAATCCATAATAACGCTTCCTACAGTGAAAAAGTCCATCTCCTGTTGTCTCTCACATCAAAATTCACTCACATATTTGTTTAGAGCTGTTTTGCTTGTAAACGGTGCTTGATCTGTGCAGATTTCTCTCCTGATTCAGACCAGACAACTTTGTCACAGTAGGAAGCGTAATTATGGATTCTGAACTCGTATTTTAGCCGGAAGCAACAGTTTAAAGCTAAAAATGCCTTAATAATGAATTTCTTACAAACATGTAGCTTTTGTCTTCACAAGACATTAACTGATGGACTGGTGTTGTGTGGATTACTTGTGGATTAATGTGATGTTTTTATCAGCTGTTTGGACTCTTATTCTGACGGCACCCATTCACTGCAGAGGATCCATTGCTGAGCAAGTGATGCAATGCTACATTTCTCCAAATCGGATGAAGAAACAAACTCATCTACATCTTGGATGGCCTGAGGGTGAGCACATTTTCAGCATTTTTTATTTTTGGCTGAACTATTCCTATTATACACTTTCCTAGTGTGAGAAACCTCTAGAACCACATGGTATCAAACATCCAATCAATCCAATAAATTTTTTTTTGAGTGAAATATCCAGTTTCCCAATGAAATGTCACATTACAGCAATATAAAGGCTTTTGAATGCTGTTTCATGTTGACTATGTAATGTTGACCTCTTTGCGTTGCATTAAACACCTAATCAGCACACACACAGGCAGTGACTGTAATAATCCATTAGATCTCATTCTGGCCTCCAGGATCTAGTTATTGTATCTTGTCTCAGTTCATAAGCCAATGACGGATTACAAACCCAGCTTCATCCAGTTACCTGCTTTGTTAACAGTTAACAGATTCACATATATATTTTAAAGTGTAATAATATTTTACAATATTACTGCTTTACTGTATTTTGTCAAATAAATGCAGCAAAAACATTAAAAAATCTTACCAACTCCAAACTTTACAACGGTAGTATATATTTCCTTGGATACACAGAAATCTAGATAAAAATAATAAACCAGCAAAGGACCAGCTTAAACCAGCAAAGGACCAGCTCAAACCAGCATCCCAGCTTCAAAACATACCTAACCAGCATATGCTGGTTTTTTCAACAGGGAGAGAACATTCAAAAGTAACATTCTAAAATTCTAACATGGAATGTTGCTTAACATTCGCATAACCAAAAATCATTAAGTTATTAAAAAATATATGTTATCCATAAATCATTCATGGAAGTTTTTTTTTTTCTGAAATGTTTTAGTTGGATGCTTGTCTAAAATTTGTAAATGTTACGTCTTGCTTCAGAATATATTCGTCTAACACTGTTTAAAATGTTACTACTTTTTTTTCAGAATGTTCTGAGAACATTACAAAGTAACGTTCCCATAATGTCTGCGTACTGTACGCGCACCATCCGATTATTGTAACCGCACATACTTTATACGTGCAGGTCGCACATGCGCATTGACTTGGTTTTGTACTAATCAGTTGTTCCACAAGGTGTTGATTCAACGTTGTTTCAGTAGAAAACGAAAGTAAAGAGATGGAACAACAATAACAAAATAGCGGAGACTGCAGCTACAGCAGACACTCACATCGACAAGCGCTTGTGAGAGGGTTATGAGATAGCAGCAACTTTAGTACAAAGACATTTGATCAGTCATAACATCTGGAGAAAAATAGAGCAGACACTGGACAAAGAAGCAGCTTTCTAGAGCGCACGCTATCAAATAGAGTACAGGATCCATAGAGGAGGACTTAACCATTAGGCAAAGCTAGGCGACCGCCTTGGGCCCCCAAAAGCCTAGGGCCCCCTAAAATGCTTTTTATACACGAGATGCACGTTTAGCGCACAGACGGTTGTCGTGATAATGAACACCACAGCAACCACTTGTGCGTCCGCGCTGAACGCGCATCTTGAAGCAAATGTAGTTCCTTTCCACACAAGCACACTTCATTGTTTGGTTGAAATAATCCTTCAGCGTGTAAATGTATAATTTCCTTCATTTTAATTCAAATGTGTAATTAAATAAAACAATTAATGTATTTTAAAGTTTATAATTAGACAGCCTTGCATTGTGTACAATTTCTTAGTGAAAATTACCCCAAAGCACCACCTACTGTCCAACCTACACTAATACTATTATAACCTGTGTAAATGTGAACAAGCGGTCTACAAGATGAAAGAAATCCATTTGTAACATGTGCATGAAAAATCTAAAAAAAAATGGACACAACTAAGGGACACGGTCGTGCAGCAGCGAGCATCACAACAGTTAAAAGGAACCTCAAGGTTGTAAATGTTAGAAAGGGCCCTATTCCTGTATTTTGCCTGGGGCCCCCAAATCACTAAATCCACCCCTGTCCATACCTCGTCTCTGAGCTGCTGTGCGTGTGCGGTGAGCGGGAACGGCGGACAGAGGCGTCTCATGCTCTGAGCCACGCTGCGGTGCATGATGAACGCCTGCTGGAAATCTGACTGAAGCAGCAGCTCCAGCAGCAGCCCAACGTCCCGCTGACTCTCAGCATCCGTCAGACGCAGCTGCAGATGCTGCAGAGAGTCCAGCAAATCATCCAGCTCTGAAAACACAAAGAAAGAAACATTATTGATAAAAACAACAACAACCCTAATAATGATAATAATCCCACCTGATTCAACTTAAAAGCTTGCTGCTTTACATTTTTAAGTATCTAGTCATTTCAATACATTTTTTTTTAAAGTCTTGTCTAGTTGAATCTGGTATAACGAAAAAATTAGACATTACTAATTACTACAAGTTACTAGAAAACAATAGCAACTTTTGGATGTCAAATGACACAAGAGATAGTAAAGAGATAGTTCACCCAAAAATGACAATTCTGTCTTCATTTACTCACTCTCATGTTGTTTCAAACCTGTATGAGTTTCTTTCTTCTGCTGAGAAGATATTTTGAAGAAGGAAAATACTATGGAAGTTTGGTGAGTAAATGATAACAACATTTTCTTTTTTGGGTGAACTATCCCAAATCAAAAATTACACACTTCATCTTCAAGGCTTTTTCATGTACCACAGTGTTTATATGGTATACCATTGTTTTTGCCCCCACGGTTCCCGCCTCCTTCTTCCCGTGACTACAAACTACGTTACAAACACTGTGTAAATTCCACTTTTATTCCACATTGTGAAGCAAAATTTCAACAATTGCCACCAGTGTTTCACCCAGAGAGTAAGCCGTAAGCAGTTATTTAGCAGACGTTTTTATCTTAAGGGATACAACAAGTGCACTTCTTACAGGGACAATCCTCCTGGAGGAACTCGAGGAACCTGAGCTTAAGAGTCTTGCTCACGAGTGCAGAGGTGAACTCATCACTGCAGTTTAGTTTAAGGCACATAGCCACAAGTAAACTATATCCTGCTAAGCTACACTTTTTTTTTTATTATGTTTCTTATGCTCACCAATGCATTTATTTGTTCAAAAATACATTAAAAGCAGTAACATTGTGAAATATTTTTTACAAGTTAAAGTAGCTGTTTTCTATTTGAATATATTTTAAGATGCAATTTATTTCTGTGATTAAAAAGCTGAATTTTCATCATCATTACTCCAGTCTTCAGTGTCACATGATCCTTCAGAAATCATTCTAATATGCTGATTTGCTGCTCGAGAAACATTTCTGATTATTATTGATGAAAACAGTTGTGCTGCCCAATATTTTTGTGGAAACCATGACACATTTTATTTTTTCAGGATTCTTTGATGAACAGAAAGTTCAAAAGAACATGTATTTAAAATAGAAACGTTACATTATAAATGTCTTTACTGTCACTTTTGATCAATTTAATGCATCCTTGTATTATATTGTAATCAGCTATTTTAGAGTATTTAAGCCCACCCCTAAAAGTGATGCTTTTCCAGGTTGTTCATCATTTAATTGCATTCATCCCTCTCGTGTCTCTCACCTGTTGTATTCTTCTCCTCTGATGTTGACTTGGCTTCCTCTGCAACATCCATCCCATCAAAAAAGGCCCGACTGATGGCCTCATTGCTGCTCTGTGCCGATGTGAGACACGAGGACGAGTTCAGATCGGGAGCCTGTTCCGTCATCATCATAGCTTCCTCTGGATCATCTCGGATCTTCTCGGTCTGCTCATTGCAGCACTGAGCGATGAGTTTGGCAGGACTGTCCATGTCCATCTCAGTTTTGTCACCTGAGTCCTCCGTCATGTCACCGTTCATATGTAATGTTAACATGGCTGTTTAAAGTGAAGGTCAACACAATAAACTACAAAGGGTTTAGAGCAGGAGACATTGATGCATTTATGATTTCCTGATTCCCTGAAACACATGCCAACAAAACAGAAGCCGCATTCTACAAATGCTGTAATATGTATTGCAATTATATATATATTATATATATATATATATTATATACATACATACATACATACACTTCTATTTCAAAATTTGAGCCTTTTAAAGGTGAAGTGTGTAAGTTTTGCACTTCTAAACGTAGCTGCTAAAGTAATGCTCAACAACAACAAAAAATTTCAACATTTTGGCTACATTTACTTCCTCTGAAGGAACCAATCAGGTTTCAGCAGTCACGCACACAGACATTCAGCTCTGTTTAGCAACAGTTGGCAGTGAAAGATGACCATCTGTTTATCTGAGACTACTTAGGGCTCTTACTTACATCTCTCTCTCTCTCTCTCTCTGTCTCTCTCTCTCACACACACACACACACACACACTAGGACCTGCAGACACACATAAATCGAGTTACAAGCAGGTTTCAGGGAAAGAAATGAATTCCTTAAACATTCAAGAGGATTCTGACGAGCTGCATGGACATCTGTTTTGTTCATATCTTCCATAAAACACAGTATTTAAATTAATAATAACAGATTATCTCTTATTTCACATATAATTAAAGGACAGTTGATCTACAAACAGAGTAGCTTATAAATAACTTCATCCTTACCAAACATGCCTTGCAAACATTAACAAAATGCCACTGTAAAATTAAAATGTTCAGTTTTATAAATAAAACAGTGATTATTGGAGTATGTATCTATTTCAGTTTTACTACTTTAAAATTTCATATTTAATTTAATGTTTAACTTGCCATTTCTGTGTGGTTGTCCAGTCTCTGTGTGAAAATTGTTTATAAAACTGTCCAAACATGGTATTTGCACCACTGTCATAATAAATTTTTTTTTTTAAATAAAGTGACAGAAAGAAAGCTTCTGGGAGTAACTATGATATTTTGACAGAAACTTAAGTTACTATGGTTAATTTTTGCAAGGGATCGAGAAATATTTAATTCTGATCTGCTCATTTTAGCTTTTCACTTCATTGCATGTGGTTATTAAATCACCCGTAACAGTTTCTTCCATAAATACAGCAGTATTTGTCACCCGAGACCTTTTAAGTGCCACTGATGTAGATAAACTTATTAAGCTCTTGCACGTTTTTCCTCTAGTCCTTCCTGTCTTGCACTGATAATCCTGGACAGATGATTTTCACTTTGATTTCAATGCAAAGCTAATAGATGAACACAATGTGGACGGTTAATGCATCAACTCTTGTGGGGTTTGAACCTTTGACTTTCTGTGACCAAGCAGCAGCCCAACATCAACCAAAACCAAAACAACCATACAAGAGTCAATGACTATAAATACAAACAATTACTTATACTATCCTAATAAATCCACTACTCACTGTGTGCATGGAGTGACAGGTCTCTCTCAGCTGCTGATGGTGAATAAAGCAGTGATTCCAGTGGTGTTTTCACTCAGGTCCAGTGGACGTGTGAGTGTCCACAGCTCAGGCGTCTGAGGCTAATGTGGATGAGCGGTGACTTCATGAGTTCAGTAATCTGCTCTAAACCCGACAGACCACGAGTCTGACCAACATCTGACCATCTGATAGATTCTACAGCTATACATACAACAATATATTACAATATTAATATGATTAATTTACAGATTAAGTTAACATAAAATTAACATTGCATGAAAAGTAGATGACTGATATTATTACAAGAATTATAAATATATTCATATAAAATTAATTAAAATTACAATTTACATATTAAATTACAGTACCAATTACACACACACACACACACTAACACATATATAAATATAATACATTTTATATATATTCATTTTAAATTACCAAAAAACATATGATTTAAAAAATATATATATTTAAATTTAATATTTAATTTTATTTAATAAGTAAATAATCTTATTCCTATAACAACTTTTCCCCAATTGCCTATATCCATCAATCTCAGTCATTCAACACAATTACCAATGTTATTGTGTGAAAAATGATGCTTATAACTACAACCCCGATATAATTCCAGACTAATATCTGACATTTATAATGAAATTGTTAAATAAACCATTAAAGATCAGCTGTCCAAAACACTGCAGAGGTCAGTTAATCAGTAGAACATAAAATGCAAAAAAAAAAAAGACATTTAAATCCCACACATTAAGGAATTATGTTTTTATTCATTTTATTACAAGAAAATTCCACAATGCTATTTTTATATAATGATCAAGGATTTTATTATTATATTCTCTCTCATTAGGTTCTTATAATTAAAGAAAATGGTATTATACAGATTTGTTCAATGTCTCCTCATTGCTTGGTCATATTCCGCAGGAGTGCTGGTCACATTTATCTGTACAATTCAGTTGTGTGTGTGTTTTTTTTTAACTGTACATTTTTGTGTAGTTGATTAAAAAGGCAGTCAGCACTTAAATAAGCTGTTGTTTTTTTTCCTCGTCTTTTTAAAGTATATTCAAATCAAACGCTCGCCTGTGACTCCGCCCCCTGGGGGGACAGGGGCGGGGCTACACCAGGTCATGTGATTATAAGGAAGCTTCAGGGATTGGGTGACCAGGCCCGTGTTCCCCCGCGCACGCCCTTCATGCACCCACGCGTTTGGCACTGCGCACACAAACAAGACTCACGAGATATAAACGACAAGCAAAGCTCTTTGTGATGTCATAATGATGCGTACTAAATAATGGGAGGAAAAAGTAAAAGTGTCACATCAATGACACGTAAGACAAAAAGTGCCATCCTCCAGAGTCCAGATTTCAAGTTGTCGTGTTCCTTCCCCATGTCCGAAAACAAAAGCAGTCATTTTTCATTTATTTTTGCATTAAAATGGGGAAATAATATTCGTTTTTTTTTCTCTCCTGGCAGGCACCTACAGTTTCTATTAAAATGCTACAGCTATAAGATCTAGCATTGAACACACAAAGCAACTGCAATGAAAAGAACAAAGTTGCCTTAATATAATAATAATAATAATAATTAATAATAATGAGAAGAAAAATGCAATAATAATAATACGGAATAAATCTCTTTTTATAATTAGATTTTATCATTTAAAAGTATATTTTTTCTTTCTTTGAAATAATATTTTCTTTCTCATATGTATCTAGGTTTGTGATCAAGATGTTGACTATACTTCAGCGTTATCCAAATCAATAAAAACTAGCTGTGCCGTTGCATATTACAGTCAATGATATGTGAACATGCACCGTGAACCACCCGTCGCTCTCCGTCCGTCAGCCCGCTCCTGTCATCATAGACGGCCGATGACCATGACGTCCACCACCTCGCCCTTGTGCAGCTCCACGTATTGCTCGGTTTTGGGAGGTAGCATCAGGAGTCCGTTAGCGCTGCGCATGCTCATGAGTCTGCTGCTAACCTGGTTCCCTGGAGGAAGACGAGACGGAGAAAAGCGTGAAAATACTGCATCGAAACTGCTGGTTTTTAATTTTTCAACCAGGAACCACTAATGTTAGAGGAACCAACATGCATCTTATTTTATCCACAATAAGAGAAAATAAGAGAGTATAGCAACCCTCTACGCACCTACACATACATTGGCAATCAGTGTTCGAACTATACCGTGGACTTTGGGGGAGCCCACTTGTTGTTTTTTTTTATATCCTTGTGGGGACATTCCATAGGCGTAATTGTTTTTCTACTGTACAGACTGTATATTCTATTGCCCCTACACCAACCCTACACCTAAACCTACCCCTCACAGGAAACTTTCTGCATTTTTAGATTTTCAAAAAACTTAATTCTGTATGATTTATAAGCTTTTGTACCCGTGGGGACCTCAATTTAGGTCCCCACCGTGACACGAGTCCCCATGAGTCTGTGTGTATTCAGGTTTAAGTTCCCACCAGAATAGAAAAACAGGTACACACACACACACACACACACACACACACACACTCACTAGAAAATTGTAAAATTATTAAATAAAATATAAAAAACCTTAAACTTATTTTATTTCAGCTAGTTGCCTAGGCATAATTTCTCATTTTCATTTAACTTTTAACTTAATTTTAACTTAATGTATTAAAATAACTAAAACACTGAGAAAAAAAAAAATAGAAACAATATAAAATCTATACAAACATTAAAAAATCAGGCAGCACAATTACTAAAACTTTAACTAAAATGAAGATGCAAAAAGGAAAATATAAAAACATTAATTAAAAAACCCTATAAAAACGAATAAAAACTGATTTGCTAAAATCAAACACTGGCAGGTGATTAATGAGCGCTAACACTGGGATTGCCACTTGCACAATTGTTCAGAAAGTCTAAAATAATGAAACTCTGTCATATGTCACAAAAAAAAAAAACACACAAAAGAATTATATAGATAAATATCATTTAAATGTATACATTTTATGTGGTATTTAACATGGCTTTTTTCACGCTCTCATAAATGAGCTAATGTCAAACTCTCAGAGCATTCTAGTGTAAAGTGATCATAGGACACAAAACACAGTGAAAAATATATCTGTACTAAACTTATTCTTAGTCTACTCAATCACTGGCGAGTGAAATGTAACAATTTCTGCGAGATTTCTGTAATAATAATAATAATGATGGATGTGTAACCTGTGCTCTGTGCCCATGGCAGAGGTTCCTGATGGTGCCATGTCAAAATACAGCGGTGATACTCTGGACGTGGATCCAGCTTCACATCACATGACAACTGGAAACAATTAAGCACAATTTAGATTTCGTTATTAAGGCTGTCAATAGATTTGAATGTTTTGCAATTAATGTTTTCAAGTTAATGCATTAACATATTTAGTTCCTATTCAGCGAAGAAAACAAAATGACATATCTGAGAGCAAATCGTTCGAAAAATAGTTTCAGTAAGATTTTTTTTTTGGAAAGCGAGGATGCATTAAAGACTTTTATGTTGTTACAAAAGATTTCTATTTCAAATGCATGCTGTTCTTTTGAACTGTCTATTCATCAAAGGATCCTGAAAAATAAAATGTATCACAGTTTCCACAAAAATATGAACTGTTTTCATCATTGATAATAATCAGAAATGTTTCTTGAGCAGCAAATCAGCATATTAGAATGATTTCTGAAGGATCATGTGACACTGAAGACTGGGGTAATGATGAATTAAAATTCAGCTTTTTTTAAGGTTGAAGGTGGTCTTACCCTGGCTTTTATTATGGTGGGTCGCGGGTCTAAGATTCCCTGCATCTTCCTCAAGGCAGGAATGACGAAGAGGTTACATGTTACGACTGCTGACACAGGGTTACCTGTGAATCACCAGACAGCCACAAAAGCACAAATCATTCACTAATAGATGAAAAATAGCCTAATCTGTGTGTTGAAATTACAGACTAGTATGTGTTTGGAAAAAACAAACAAACCAATAAACTCTCTCACCGTCCCTACCTGGCAGAGCAAAGATAAGTTTTCGAGACCCGTCCATATCAACAGTGGCAAATGATGTGGGGAGACTAACGGAAGACAAACCAGAGCTCAATACCCGCGTGGACTGATTCTCATCGTTTGATACTCAAGATCAGGGTGTTTTCACACTGGGTTGAAATCCGAGAGCAGTTTGCATGATTTACACTGCGATGTGATCGCTCTAAACGCTGTAAAGTGATCTGAAGTGTGAAGTGAGACCATTTCAGGAAACGGTCTGAATACAGTTCACTTTAAGTTTATGTAAAACAAACAAAGCAGTATTTTTGCTCGCAAGTAACCATAATGACACGCTTACTTTTGGTATTAAAACTATTCTATTCTCTTATTCTATTAATTCAAATAAAATAAATGCAAATATTAAAATAAAATAAATAAATAAAAAAATAAAAAAAATGGTTTAACATCCAGGTTGGCTTTATGGAGTTTTTCACTCACATTTTAAATATAGATAGAAAAATAGAATAGCATTCAAATATATTTAATTTAAATGTATATACATTTGAATTTATAATAACATAAAATGTAATAAAACAAAATGAATGTTAATAAAACATATTTTAATAAAATACATGTTTAAAATAAAATAAAACGTAGTACTATATCCAAGTTTTTAAATTCAATTTTGCTCCAGTTAAAGCGGATAAAGACTATAATATAATAACAGCATTAAAACTATTCTATTCTATAAATTGTAATAAAATAAATATAACATTTAATTGATAAAATATAACATTTAATAATGTTAATACAATATATTTTAATAAAATAGTGGTAAAATGAAGTATTATGGATTAAATACGCTGACATTCAAATCTGCTTTTTGGAGGTTATCATTATTATTATTTTTTATTAAGTTTTGTTCGAAGTAAAGTGTTTGTTTCATTTAACGAAGTTTCAAAAGTGAAAACACCCTCATTCTGCATTACTTGTACAATCTTCACGCAGATGTCACCTGTTTCTTCAAAAACTCACCCTGGTTTCATGAAGACACGACCAAAGTGTATCTGAGCATGAAGGTCGATATCAAGTACCTGTTTCAGGTAATCCTGTGAAAACATCCATTTACAGTGATCTTAATGATCTGCTAAACTAGGACCAATTAAAAATAACAGTGTATGACAAAGATTTTTTTTAACCAATGCCTGATTGTATAAACACTGTATTCTCTTCTTTATTGTGAGTGTAAATCCTTTTAAAAAGATCAACGAATGCCTCGTTTGTAATGGGTTTTCATGTTTTTGTCTCGTTGCTCCGGCCGGGGCACAGCATCAACAGTATGTGAGGAACGTAACATTACCGTCACACGCTTGAGGTATTCGGCCAATCACAACGCACTGGATAGCTGGCCAATCAGAGCACACCTCGCTTTTTCAGACCGATGAGCTTTGTAAAAATCGACGCGTTTCAAAAAGGCGGGGCATAGAGGAGAAACAATAATGTACAGTATGTGGAAAATAATGTGTTTTTTTAACTTTAAACCGCATAAACACATTTCATTACACCAAATACACAAAATAATGTTCTTTTTAGCAGCATCATATGACCCCTTTAAAGCACTAGGTACCTCATTTCTTTAGGAGTAAATCTCTTTGACGTGACAGACTTACTGCCATCCAGCCACTAGATGTCAGTATACAGCAGTGATTACTAAATTAAACTCAAAGTGTTCTGCTTTTCCATGCATCTTCCTAAAACACAGTTTGTCATTACGAAGCTGTCCGCTAAATAAATACACAGAGCAAATGTAAAAGCTGTGCCTTTTCCCCCATGGACACGCCCCCTGAGGTGATGATGACATCAGCGCGACTGATTCCCTCGTTCAGAGCATTCAGCAGGTCATCAGGGCTGTGGGAAACCAGGGTAACAGTTACCACGGCAACTGACATGTCACAAAACATGATTAATAGCCGTACAGCCTTAAAGATAACAAAATGCAATAAATATAAGCAATTGATTAAAAAGTAGGGTGTTTTATACAGCTACACACAAAAAAAGGCACAAAACAGTCAATGGGGCGGTACCCTTTCAAAAGGTACTAATATGTACATTTTATAACAGTAATAATGATAACACTAAACTTTATTTTACAAGCACCTTTAAAAGCAGCTTTACACAGAAACAAGCAATAAACCACAAGAAAACCACAATAATAAAATGAATAAACATGCTTCGATTTATAACTACAGAAAACACAACTAAGATAATCAAGCAAAAGCTAACCACGGAGTACTAACTTTATGTCCGTTTAAGTATTAATATGTACCATTTAGGGGCAAATAAGATAGATGTACATTTTTTCTGAGAGTTTATACTGAGCTAATTTATTTCTAATTTCTCAACCAAACCAATATTTAATGATATACATGCAATTCCCTGAGGTTGTTAGATTGTAGTAATCTTTTTACTTAGTTAAGTCACTTGTGTTTCAGTATTTAAGTTCAATAAAGTTCATGCGGAAGATGTCTGTTTTTTTTTTTAAAAGAATCATTTTTTTTTTCTAATTATTTACAAAAAGGAGCTACGATTATTAAATTTTTTGTCATGTTAAGGTGTTTCTCATTGTATAGTGATACAAATCTATTTTGATTTATTATATTTGCTTGTTATTATAACAATAAAAGTCAAATGGTTTGAAAGAATGCCTTTGCTTGAACAATTTATAATTAACATAGATATATCTAAACACCTAAAAGAAACACAAACTATGCAACTGTTTAAGTGCAATGTTTTTCTGTATTTTTTGTCTTTCTGTAAACCCCTGACATGTTTGGTTATATGCACTCTTGTATGTAAAATATGCTTGGTTTAAACTTGTATTAATCAGGTTAAAAAAAGAGATTTTTTTCTGCTTTTATGTAATCTAAATTTGACACACAATTACTCATATTTCTGTATAAAGTGTGAAAGCTGCTCACTTGTCTCCCACGATGCCCAGGTTGATGGTGGGGTATCCGTGCTCCTGTATGGTGGCCAGCAGCGTCGAGCGATTCGAGTCTCTGATCTTCCCGGGGTGTAAATCGTCCTCTGGGTTCAGCAGCTGAAAACACAACAGTTTACTGCTCAGGAATTGCTTATAAGACTTAAAGAGTAACTTTAAGCATTGCATTGTTACAATCAGGGGCGGATTTAGTGATTTGGGGCCCCAGGCAAAATACAGGAATCTTTCTTTCACTGTTGTGATGCTCGCTGCTGCACGACCGTGTCCCTTAGTTCCACAGTGCAACAGTGAAAAGGCACCCCTTTCAAACAGTGTCGCGTTCCGAACGTTGTTTAAGCGGCATACACCGGTATTGCGGTATTTTAAAAATTCATATCATAACAAAAATAAACACCGGTATTCGGTATGAACCGATATACCGCCCAGCACTACCGCTTGTTCACATTTACACAGGTTATAATAGTATTAGTGTAGGGTGGACACTAGGTGGTGCTTTGGGGTAATTTTCACTAAGCAATTGTACACAATGCAAGGCTGTCTAATTATAAACTTAAAAATTTTTTTTTTTGTTTATTTTAATTACACATTTAAATTAAACTAAAGGAAATTATACATTTACACACTTAAAGGCACAATATGTAAGTTTTCACCACTAGAGGTCGCATTTTCAAAACAAGGCGAAGCTTGATGACGCTATGAAGAAGAGTGGAACAATGGGAGATATCGTTTTCACCATCCAGAGATGTCCGAATCATGTTCACGGATGTAATGAATTATAATTTTTTTTATCTGTACCTTCCAAAGTTATTCAAACAGTGAATAAATTATATAGAGAAAGCGAGCAAAGAACATTTAACGTTACATTGTCAAAAAACAGTATGCCTGACTTCAGTCTAGCGCGAGTTTAAGCACTCTCAAAAAACTCCCTTTATAATAAGTAAAGCTGTCTATACACTGTTTGATGAATGAATCTCCTATTTACATCATACGTACATCTGCACTTTGTTGTTTATGATGAGAGAATACACTCAGCGAGCGCGTGCACTGAACAAAACTCCGGTGTTTCAGTAGCAGCATTTTTGTCCACGTGTGTTGCCATAGTTTCTACAAGCGGAAACGATAGTGCGGATATTACGTAATTGATAGGCGAGAATGAACGGGGGCGAGCCATTATTTAAAATTGGAATTTCTCTGGATTTACAAATCCTTGGGAACTTTTGGGATAACGTAAGTGCACAACTGCATGAAATATATGACAATGTGCAAGTGGTTTTTGGATATTTTATTACGAAAATCTTACATATTGTGCCTTTAAGGATTATTTCAACCAAATATGAAGTGTGCTTGTGTGGAAAGGAACTGCACATTAGGGCCCAAATTCTGTGCTTTCCATTTGAATTTTTCTGTATTCCACTTTAATGGTTTAATCAAAAACATATCTATTAATAAAATTCATAAAAACAACAAATTTTTTTTTCATTTGTATACAATAACAGGGCCCTATGAAATTTTCTTCTTTCTTTCTTTCTTTCTTTCTCTATCTTCATATTTAAAATTTTCTGGTAATCAAATGAAGGCAAAAACATTCATCTATCTTTTACTCCAATGAAAATTAAACAAACCCTTTAATTTTTGTACATTCAAAGTGCTACACAACAGAAGTTTACTGTGTAGCGAGGAATGTCACACAGACGCAGCCAGATCATTTCCATAACGATCAACGCAATCTACCAAGAGTAGTGCAAATTAGCATCTGCATTAAGACCTGTTTTTTTGGGGTGTTAAATAATGGCGCAAATACCAGTAATTTGACGAGTGCAAACGTTAGTAAATGGTGTTGCGTGATTCATTTTAATACTCTCCTCCCATAAATTTTGGGTCTAAAAGGTTAGGTGCAAAAATAACTGTGTCCATGCCTTTTCAGCGCTAATTCTTCACTGCACGTCTTTAGTAAATCCTGACATTGCTGTCTAGAAGAAACAGTGGAGATATAAAGAGCAGTGTGTGTTGTAATGGCACCTCGTTGCCTGTAGACATCACAGCCACGACGGGAAACTTCTGCACTTCCACCTCTGTGACGCCCACCGTGGCCAGCAGACCGATTTCAGACGAGCCCATGTGAGTGCCTTTGCCCAACACACATTCACCACGCTTAATGTCGTGACCGATGGGCCTGCAGAAGCAGAACACGGGACAGACTCCTTCAGACACATCCGAGACTCACACAGTCATGCTGAGATACGCTCACAGGCGCTCACCTGATGTCTTGACCTGGACGAGCTTGAATCAGAATCCGCACCTCGAGCTCTTCTGTGCCCTGAGAAATGAATTCAGATAGAAAGAGACAGAAAATAATCGACAGCCGAGGTGGTAATTAATGGCAGTCTGAAATATTTTCATATCATCATTAGTGAATAACAGTGTCTACCTGAACAAATAATTTCCTCAATTATTCCTCAAATATATCAAATAATTTTGATATAATTTGAGTAAAAATTGTGTAAAATAAGTGTATTACATTTCAGCAATTTTGTATACTTGTCAAAAATATATAAATTTAAGTAAAATACATATATTATAATATAATATAATATAATATAATATTATGTGGAGTCAGTAAGTTTTTTTATCTATCAAGGATGCATTAAATTGATCAAAAGCGACACTAAAGACATTTATAATGTTACAAAAGGTTTGATTCAAATAAATGCTGTTATTTTCAATGTTCAATGCAACCAAAAATCCTGAAAAATAAAATGTATCACAGTTTCCACAAAAATATGAAGCAGCACAACTGTTTCCAACATTGATAATAATCAGAAATGTTTCTTGAGCAGCAAATCAGCATATTAGAATGATTTCTGAAGATCATGTGACGCTGAAGACTGGAGTAATGATCACAGCAATAAATTACATTTTATTATATATTCACATAGAAAACAGCTATTTTACATTGCAATAATATTTCACAATTTTTTATTGTATTTTTGATCAAATAAATGCAGCCTTGGTGAACAGAAGAGACTTTCAAATGCATTTAAAAAATCTTACCGACCCCAGACTTTTAAACGTTAGTGTATATAAATAAATTAAAATGATTAAATAATGTATTGTTATGTTTCATTAAAGAATCAGCAGGCTGTAACTCACGTCTTCAGACTCTCGCAGGAGTTCGGTGTCTTCTACTTGAACCACAGCGTCGGCGCCGCATGGAATAGGAGCACCTGTCGTCACCCGCATCACCTGACCCGGCATCACGGTGTGTGTGGGCTGGAAACACACGTATGGATCATTTCCCTCACATCTGAAGGTGGATTTCTCAAACGATATCTTTTCTTTTCTCACCTGCTCTCCAGCCTGCGAAGCGGAGTGCATTAAAATCGTTTGATGCACAGCTAGCCGTGCATTATCCTGCTTATACCATGATCATTTGCTAGCATTGACAAGTTAAAGCTGTTAATGATGTTTGATTTTACCTCCTCGTTGCTGAGGAATATAATGCAGTGATCCAGTATCTAAGCTATTTTTTAATAAAAGTCGCAGGGCAGCGTTGACAAGTTTATGTACTCAGTGCGATCTCTGATCTCTCTCTGTGTGTGTGTGTTTGTGTGCGTCAATGAGAGCAGCGCATTAATATAGAACAGTGATTAAACTGATTTGGAACTACCTGTGCATCTAACCTTTTTTAAAGCATACCTGCCAGCCAATCAGAATCGAGTATTCAGACAGACCATGGTATAAGTTAAAAAGTTATTTTGAATGTTCTCGGAACGTCCAGTTTTTTAAATGTTTTTAAAAACGTCAGCCAAAATATTAAGGGAACGTTCCATTTTAAACATTCTACAAACATTATGGGAACGCTACATCTAAATGTTCTCTGAATGTTTCGAAACTACTACTAAGTAGTAAGGTTAGCTAAAATGCTAAAGGAACGTTCCGTTTGAATAATTCTGCAAACATTAAGGGAATGTTACTTCTTAATGTTCTCGGAACATTTTGAAATAAGTGGTAAGTAGTAACATTTAGAAAAATGTTTCCCCCCCAAAAAAGTCCCATAAATGAAACATTTTTGTGCTAAAGTTTTGAGAACGTTATTAAAGACCAGATAAGTTGAAACAAATGTTCTATTAGCGTTACAGGAAAAACACGGTTTAAACTTTGAGAGAACCTTGCCAGAACATTCCCTTGCAGCTCAGTTGAAACGGTTTAAGTTCTTGTTCCATACTGCGCATTGTTTCGTTAATATGTAAATTGTATGCAGTATAGATTATGTAAAACAGATTATGAATTTTGTATTTTTGCAGTCATTTTATTTTACTTTTTTTCTATGTGAAGACTTTTGGTAAATTGCTGGTACTGAAAGACTGTATTAGCATGCACAAAAATCAGGAATGGGTATGAAGAAACTAAATAGGGTCAATATTGATTTTACAGCAATTGAATATCAAGATCTTCCTAATGTTGTGAAGAGCCAGACAGCTGCCATAACATGGCCTACATCAGACAAATATGTTTATAGACTGTCAGTAAATACTCATGAGCTCATAAATATGCAATTAATGCAAAATCCCCAAGTGCTGAAGTTTACTCTGCACAAGTTCTTGTTATGACATTTTTAAGCAGGAAACTCCCATCCAGCACCAAGTCCATAAGAAATGAATGAAGCATTTGACATTCATCCCCTGAGCGTCGCTCTCCAGTAGACGTGAGTAATGCTTTCAATATGCAGCGCTGACGCGAGCACTAGAGCGTGAGTTAACCAGGTCTGTCATCGTCGAGTCATGTGGGCTCTCACCTCTTACAGCATAGCCGTCTTTAACGGAGGCAGGGAACGGAGGCAGGTTGTCTTTGGCATAAACGTCCTGAGCCAGAACTCGACCCATGCCGTCTATGAGAACAACAAGACAGAGAAAAAGATTACATGTGTTTATTAGCAAATAACATGCATGTAAAACAGGCCTTTTAAAATACATAAGGGACGATGAGCTACATGATATTTACCCCCAAAAATAAAAAATAGCAAGAATAAAAAATCTGTAGAAAATAACAATTTAGAGCATGCTGGCTTCTATGGAAGCTTATTTCCGCCACGGAATAAAAATATAAAAATGGTAATTGCAACTTTTAAAAAAAAATCAGAATTGCAAGTTCTCTCACAATTTTGACTTTACTTTTTTGCACAATTGCAAGCTAACATCTTGCAATTTTGCCTTTTTTCACAGAATTGCACGTTTATATCTCGCAACTGACAGTTATAGACTCATAATTCTTATTTTAACACTCATTATTCTATGTTTTTTCTCGAAATTCAGAGTTTACATCTTACAATTCTGTTTGTTTCCTGACACAAAAAAGTAATTGCGACTTTTCTTACAATTCCAAGTTTATTAATTTATTAATTGCGAGAAAAAAACTCTGAATTGTGAGATAAAAAGTCACAATAAATTTTTTTTTTCTATGGCAGAAAAAAGCCCCATTATTTTTATTTATCATGTGGAATTTTAGGAGAAACATCTGAGGTGAAGTTGATGCTCTACATTTATTCTTTCTATTCTATACAAACATAAATGAGATATAAAATGTTCCTCTGGAACTGCACACACACACACACACATCAGATTACAGAAGGATCAATATCACAGCAGATTAACACACACTGATATGATTCTACATCTCACATACTGGGATTCACTTCCAGCATGCAAAAACATGCTTTAAAAGGAATAGATCATTAATAAAAAGGTAAACAGAGTCATATGAAATCACAGACTCAATTCAGAATGTGTTGTACCTCTGTAGTTAATGATCTCAGTGCCCAGAACTGCGGTCATCTCCAGCACAGTGATGAAGGCTTTATCCATAGAGGTGAGAGGGAATGGAGACATACGGTGTCTCCGAGCCACTTTGGTGATGTCCACTGCACTATGACCTTCAAACACACAAACATACCTGAACACTTCATTTATACACACGTGATGCTCAACTGATGTGGGTTTTTCTGTGTCTGATGCTGATATCTAGAGATGCCAATATAAGCTGAATTTTGTCACATAATTTTATGATAATAAATAGCACTGAAAAATACTGAAACTGAATTAAGTTTCTTTTACACAATATTTATGGAGTGTCCATTTAATTTTAATCCATAAAATTTTTTGAAATTAATCTATCTTTTTAAAATTGTATCTAAGTGCAAATAGCTTGTGCTTTTTAATAATTATAATTATATACAGCGAACTAGTGTTATTTTAGTATAATTAAGATAATATTATAGTTTTTATTAATATTTTGAATGAGTTTTTATTTATATATTCCGTTTCATTTTAATTTTAGTTAAAGTTATAGTAATTTAGTTGTGTTTTTGTCATTTTTATTAGTTTTTTTTGGTAAATTTTTTCAATTTCAATGTTATTTTTTTAAGTACATCAAGTTAAACTAAATGAAAATAAGCAATGTTGCCTTGGCAACTAGAAGAAAAAAAATACAAAAAAAATTAAATATTTTTAAAATATATTTTATTTTATTTTATTTCAGTTAACATTTATTATAGTTCAAGTAAAATTTTTTCATAGTTTTGGTTAACTCTAATAAACCTGCACTGAATATGATATTATTATTGCACACTGTTTTATAATTAAAATATACTGACGTATAACTGACTAACTACTATTTAAATTTAGTGCAAAGAATATATATTTAATACTAAGTGGAAATAGTTATACATATATATCTGTTTTGTGATACAAGTGACCAAATGGTAAAGTCATATTGGAAGAGCATTCAAATTGATATTTCATAATCACACACAGGTCAAACACAAGAAAAGTAATTTCATGAAGAAACATACTTGCTCGTAAGATGTTTTCTTTGCTGCTGCATCGTGACTGCACCTGAAGAAACAAAACAAGGGACGAAAGAGAAAAAACCTGTTAATATTTAATTTTTTGTGTGTTTTCATGGAGCTTTTATGAGATGTTTGCCACTAAACCCCAGAAAACAATAAGCAATGTCATGCTGCTGTCATATCATTATGAAACTCAGAGACAAACATGGAGCTGGGAATTCTGGGATGTAATGAGTAGAAACAGAGAGATATTCACTACTGTTCAAAAGTTTGAGGTCGGTAAGATTTTTTATGTTTTTGAAAAAAGTCCAAAGCGGCATTTCTTTGAACAAAAATGCAGTAAAAACAGTAATATTGTGAAATATTATTACAATTTAAAATAGCTGGTTTATATTTGAATATAATTTAAAATCTAATTTATTTCAGCATCATTACTCCAATCTTCAGTGTCACATGATCTTCAGAAATCATTCTAATATGCTCAAGAAACATTTATTATTATTTTCAGTGTTGAAAACAGTTGTGCTGCTTCATATTTTCATACAGTACGTTTTTTTTTAGGATTCTTCGATGAATAGAAAGTTCAAAAGAACAGCATTTATTTGAAATAGAAATCTTTTGAAACATTTACTGTCA